TATATGCTCACCAGTGTTGAAACTAGTGAAGACAATTTTGTAATTGGTTTTGAACCAAGCTTTAATAATCTCCACTAAGGGGATTTATATCTTCTATGTTGGTAGTTACACAGGCTGAAATCACACTTGGCTCTGCTTGCTTCATAAGCTGCCAGATGTCTATTAAGTTAGATCAGACCTATGTGCTTGTTCCAAGAGTTTCAGGTTTGCTGTGAAACCTAATAGGATATGAAGGACTATAAGTTAGTGAACATATTTGCAAAGAACAATGTTTTGAAATGGCTAGTATCTTCATTTCCACCACTTTCTCTCCTCATTAATTTTATGAACATACACTACCACATTCCTTTAGATCCTTGTCACAGTCCCCATCAAGCCTATGCTGGGGTTTTTTAAATTCTAAAAACCACTGTGTCCTGCAAGAAGGCCTCCCTCTCCTTTCCTTGCTGCTGAAATAATTGAGTGTTTTGTCAAACTCCTTGTGAGTTTGATAAAACAGCTTACTTTATGTGAGTCTGTTGCATATAGTATGAAGGCTATATTCCTAGCATTGTATTGATTTTCAACCTGTTCATTTGTAAATATACTTTCAAAGATGCTGAAAGCCTCAAGTGCACTTTTCTTTATGGGAAATTGATCTGCGATGCTTCTGAGCTTCCCACTGAGTCAGGGAAAGGGTTTATTTATTTACATTTCTCACCCCAAATGGGACTCAGAGTGGCTTACAGAACATACTTATGGCAAACATTCAATGCTGACTATACAATTAACAAGTACAGACAACACAAACAGAGGTAAAGGCAGTTTTTCCCATCTTATTTCTGGCATCTTGGAGGCTGTGCTCAACTCCAGCCATTGGGGGGGGGGGGGGGGGGGGGGTTGTCGCTTCATCTTCTATCTCAAGGAACTTTCCTCCAATCAATGTCCTTAAAGGCACCTTTATTACCTCCTCGCTAAAAGCAGCATCTATTTTATTTACTCACATTTCTGCTTTCGACCTGTTAGTTGGGCAGGTGAGCTGAGGCTAACAGTGGGTGCTCAGCCCAACCCAGGCTTAAGTTGCTGACCTTTCATTCAGCAGGATTTTTCTGCAGCACAATGGTTTAGCCTGCTGTGCTAAGCCCAGCCCCTATGTTGCCCCTTGTGTGTGGATGTGTGTGTATCATAACATATGTTTCAAACAATTGAACATTTAAAATGTATTAAAACTTTGTCAAGTTACACTCTTTCAGCCTCAGAGGAAGGCAAAGGCACTCCTCATGACAAACCTTGTCAAGAAAACCCCATGATAGGTCAGAGATAACTTGAAGACACACAAAATAACAAACCTTCCTTTTTGTTCAGCATACTGTATATAATGGTCCAAGGAAAAGCAGAATACATTTTCCGCTATCTTCTTTTAGAGTGAGAATTTTTTTTCCTTATCTACATGGGTATCTAGTCTCTTGACAGCAGAATAATCAGCTTGCAACCCAAAAGGCTTACCACCAAAAAACACCTACTTGTTTCATTCAACGTTATTCTGCCCTTGTTTAAAAATCCTAAAACCCATTTCATTCTTTTTGCTTCACTGGCTGTTATACTGCTTGTTTGTGATCTCATTTTTATTGAAAGGCTATTGCTGCAGAGTATCCAATTGGGTCTGTAGAAAACTCATGGCAAAGCATCCTCCTTTGTCTCTGCAGGCTGTATCCATGTGCCAAGAAGGCACTGTGCCTGCAGTGTAAAAATCCTTTGCTGCCCTGGATTGCAAGGGAGTTCTTGTAATGATGTCTTCCGCAGATTTTTTTAAATTGTGAAGCTTTATTTAAACTGCCTGTATTTGTATATGTGCATGCTCCTGTGTGTGCTGTTTGACAGTAAAGACTGCCATCTTATGGTTTGTTTCTGAACCAAAGTTTGTCCAGTTTTTTATTCGGCTGTCCTTCATGACCATTAAAAACTACACTATAATAGATAAAGGCGCTCTTTACACTGGAGAATGCTTCATACAAATCAGAACTGTCATCGTATATATTAGACACCACTTTACTATGCTATTGTATATAATGGGACTTGAGTACCAACCAATGGTTTTTTGTCATTCACTGGTGAGCTGGCACCAGTTATCAACAACCCACTGTAAAAAATATTTTTAAATGCCAAGTACGGGCTATTAGTACTATGAGGAAACAACTCCCCACATTTCAGAGAACACTGTCATAGGCCTGATTTGCACTGCCATATAGAGCAGTTTGAATTGCATTATATCAGTGGTTCCCAACCTGTGGTCCCCAGATGTTTTGACCATAAACTCTGAGAAATCCTAACAGCTGATTTTTTTTGTCATGTCAGGAGTGACTTGAGAAACTGCAAGTCGCTTCTAGAGAATTGGCTGTCTGCAAGGATGTTGCCCAGGGGACGCCCGGATGTTTTTGATTTGTTATCATCCTTGTGGAAGGCTTCTCTCATGTCCCCACATGGGTAGTGGGAGCTGATAGAGGGAGCTCAGCCATGCTCTCCCTGGATTTGAGCCTGTGACCTGTCGGTCTTCAGTCCTGCGCCACCAGGGGCTCCTAACAGCTGATAAACTGGCTGGGATTTCTGTGAGGTGTAGGCCAAAACACCTGGGGACCCACAGGTTGCAAACCACTGCATTATATGGTCATTGTAGCTGAGGCATGGGCAAACTTCAGCCCTCCGGGTGTTTGGGACTTCAACTCCCACAATCCCTCGCAGTTTCAGGCCCTTTCCTTTTCGCTTAAGCGGCTAAGGGGGAAAAGGAATGGACCTGAGGCTGTTAGGAATTGTCGGAGTTGAAATCTGAAACACCTGGAGGGCCAAAGTTTACCCATGCCGCTGTAGCCAAATATAATGCAATTTTAACTGCATTATATGGGCTTACACTGACCATATAATGCAGTTCAAACTGCACCCTATGGCAGTGTAGATCCAGGCCAAGGTTGGATGAATGCATGCATTGCAGAGGAATTAAGAGTTCGCTTCACCCTCTTCAATGTTTTTGAACCAGCAGCAAAAGCTAGAAAACAAAAATAGACAAAAGGAAAACCCATGTCAGCTTTTCAGCATAGCAACCCTCAGTGGAAAATCCATGGCAACCACAGAGCTGCCTGAATGTGATCAATTGGCCAAGGCAATGCTGCCATTTAAAAGAGACTCCCTTCTAATATGTATCACATTTTTTCAGCCAGTTACAATTGTACTGATATTATAACATGACATGGATCAATGCAGGTGCTGGGTGGGGAGAAATCAAAGAATAACTCCTTTTGCTGTCTATCTGCTTCTGCTCTTATGGGCTTGGTGCATGCATGGCCAGAACATCTTCGGTTGAAAATCCTGTCAACTTTCAATTTAAATATGGTGGGCCCTTGGTTTCCGCTGTGGTTTGGTTCCAGGACCCCCCCCCCCCCCCGTGACTGCCAAAATCTGTGGATGTTCATGTCCCATTATATAATGTCAAAATTAACATTTGGAGAAGGAACTGATTTTTTTTATTTTATTTTACAAAACATATGAGTTCAGATGTGGAAAAAATGGTTCTGTAAATCAAAGCATAAAGCAATATTCTAAAGAAGTAATTTGCACTCAATAAAAGCTTGCAAGCAACGCTGATAGGCCTTTGATATTTGTCCCCAGGGATTATTTAAACCCATGGATGTTCAAGTCCCATTATATACAAAGGTGAAGTAATGAGATGTGCGTGTGTGTTAATATTTCCCAGCCATGGATGGTTGAATCCATGGGCACAGTACCCGTGGGCATTAGGGGTGTGTGTGTGATTCTATAAGCCCTTTGTTGTTCTTGCTACAGGACGTTGACATATACTGATGTTAGATTGCCAGTCTCTTTCCTAGGAAGCAAATTGCTTGCTCACGGCTGCTGCAACATGAATCATCCAGGCCAAATCCATACACTAGCTGTTGGAAGTGTATTTCTGTGCTTCCCATCCTTTCTTCCCTTATACAATTTTTTCACAGGTTTGAATTAGAGGAGCAGTATGAATTCCCACTGTCAGCCCTGGCTTCTGCCAACCTAGCAGTTTCAGAAACATGCAAATGTGAGTAGATCAACAGGTACCGTTCTGGCAGGAAGGTAACAGCGCTCCATGCAGTCATGCTGGCCACATGATCTTGAAGGTGTCTACGGACAATGCTGGCTCTTCGGCTTAGAAATGGAGATGAGCACCAACCCTGAGAGTTGGACACAACTAGACTTAATGTCAGGGGAAAACCTTTACCTTTACCTTAATCCTCTTTTTTTTAAAAAAGTTTTTCATGTGTAGTTTTGGCACTGTTTTTGGTATTGTATTATTTTTGAAAATAATTTATTGTGTCTTGATGTATATTTTGTTTGGACACTTCTATGTCTGAACAGATCAAACAGATCAAAGGTGGTTTACAACAAGTCAGTACACATAATATCAAAATACAAATTAAAACATTAAAAGCAATATAAAACCACAACAGAAACAATAAAACCAGCATCATCTGCATCTCCTTGTTAAAACATTATCCAATTCCATCGTCTAGTCATTCCATTTCCTATGTCAGTTACTCTGCATTTGTAAACTCTTGCTCAAACAACCATGTTTTAAGTTTTCTCCGAAACATTAAGAGGGAGGGAGCCGATCTGATATCCCTAGGGAGGACGTTCCATTGCCGAGGGGCCACCACTGAGAAGGCCCTATCTCTTGTCCCCACCAACTGTACAACTGGACTTAATGTCAGGGGAAAACCTTTGCCTTTAGCTTATAATTTTCTCACACCTCTTCCTCTTTATTTATTTACTTTACTAGCCCATCCCCTGCCACGCGTTGCTGTGGCCCAGTCTGTGTATATGTGTTTTGTGTGTGTGTATATGTGTAAGTATATATTTGTGTAATTGTGTGTTTGCGTGTGTATATATATATATATGTGTGTGTGTGTGTGTGTGTGGTTTTGTGCAGAACGTGTTGCTGTGGCCCAGTCTGTATATATGTGTTTTGTGTGTGTATATATGTGTGGTTTTGCACATGCATTGTAATGTATTTTTTCTTTTTTGGCTTTTAAAGTCTGTTCTGATGTGCTTTCCTGTGTTTTATTAGTGTTGGCTTGATAGGTGTCTTGTGTCCAAATTTGGTGTCAATTGGTCCAGTGGTTTTTGAGTTATGTTAATCCCACAAACGAACATTACATTTTTATTTATATATAGATTTGTATCCTGCCTTTCTCTACCCCGAAGAGGACTCAAGGCGGCTTTACATATGGCAACTATTCAATGCCTTTGGACAACAAACAGAATATACTTAAGTTAAAAATTAAAGGCACAGTAAAACACATAAAGCATTGCATTCACTATTAAAAACACACCATCTTTGGGTGCATCTACACTGCAGAATTAGTGCAGTTTGACACCACTTTAGCTTCCCTGGCTCCAAACTACTGAATCATGGGAGTTGTTTGGCAAGGCCTTAACCCTTCTCGGCCAATGAGAACTCCCAGGATCCCATAGAAATGAGCCATGCCAGTCAAAGCAGTGTCCGAGTGCAGTGTGGGTGGGCATTGGTCATTCTCATTGGCTCAGCCCTGAGTCCCCCTCCTTCTCGGGCTCATGAGGAGAAGTGGCTGATTCTCTGAGCTCTTGCTAGGCCTCACGCCTCACCATGAAGCCTGTTAATGGCTCCCGCTTTGGCCGAAACAGGTTCCGGATTGTTTACGTGAACCATTTTGGTAGCCACCGCTGTGGCTCCGTGATTCATTATGGCAGTGGCCACCTCAGGCCTGAGGGACAAGCTCCCCTGGCAACACCCATTTCTGAGAGAAGAGGGTGCGCAACCCTTTCTCCTTCCCCCCAGGGACAAAAGAGTCCATGTTTTGTGCTTCGAGCCGGGCCCAAGATGCAAGCGGGCAAAGCAGGAGCCTGTGGAAGCCGTCCACTTGGCAGAGAAGGGCAGGCCGCATCCACCACAGCCAAAGACATGCCTGAGCTGCCATGCACACCCAGTGCGGACTGGAGTTGTGAGAGGGAGGCTGTCAGCTCCACGGCCTCCAGTAGGCAGAAGCAAACTGGTATGAGCAGAGCACATATCAGATTCCCGAGGCTGTTAGGGATTGGGTTGTTGTAGGTTTTTTGGGCTATATGGCCATGTTCTATAAGCATCCTCTCCTGACATTTCACCTGCATCTATGGCAAGCATCCTCAGAGTTTGTGAGGTCTCACAACCTCTGAGGATGCTTGCCATAGATGAAGGCGAAACTTCAGGAGAGAATGCTTCTAGAGCATGGCCATATAGCCCGAAAAACCTACAACAGCCCAGTGATTCTGGCCATGAAAGCCTTCGACAATACTGTTAGAAATTGTGGGAGTTGGCACATGTCTTATTGTGTTTGTTTACTGGCTTATTATTTGTTAAATTTACCATATACCTCTCCCTGCTTCCCCACCAAATCAGCAGGTATGGCACTTCAGTTCCTCAGTTTATTCTTCAGCCAGCAAGTTTGAGGGCTCAAGGTGCATCTACTCTGCATAATTCATCCAGTTTGATATCGCTTTAACTGCCATGGCTTGGTGCTGTGGACTCATGGGAGATGTAGTTTTACCTCTCTGGCCTCATCTGCTCAATACACCATTTGAAGTGCCACATTTAATGCAGTTTTAAAAATACATTATATGGTGAGTCACACCAGCCATGGGCAAACTTCAGCCTTCCATGTGTTTTGGACTCCAACTCCCACCATTCCTAACAGTCTCAGGCCCCTTCCTTTTCCTCCTCAGCCGCTTAAGCAGCTGAGGGGAAAAGGAAAGGGCCTGAGGCTGTTAGGAAATGTGGGAGTTGGAGTCCAAACACCAGGAGGGCCAACGTTTGTCCATGCCTGGTGTAGATTTACCATATATGAGTTTAAACTGACCATATAGTCAGTTCAAGACAGTTAAATTGTGTTTATATAGCTTCAAACTGCATTATATAGCAGTGTAGATGGGTCCTCTGTTGAAATCAACAACCAGTCTGTATTTTTAAATTACGGTTTATAAAGTATTTATTGGTGGATCTTTAATAAGTATTGCTTTTATATGCTCTTTTAACTGATGTGATGTGTTGTGTTATTTGCTCTTGTTCCCTGCCATGATCCTCAGGTATAGACAGGTATGAAAATAATAGTAGTAGTAATAATACCAATATTAATAATAATATTAATAATAATAATAATAATAATAATAATAATAATAATAAGCTGATATGATATGAGGATTTAAAGATCGAACTGAAAGGCTCTAGCACAAGCCAGAAAAGGTGGTCATAGTGGTGAATCAGCATACTGGGTGCAGTGCCTAAAGACATTGACCTGCACTTAAATACAATCGATGCTGACAAAATTACCATTTGCCAGCTGCAGAAGGCCACCTTACTGGGATCTGCACGCATTATTCGCCGATACATCACACAGTCCTATACACTTAGGAAGTGTCCGATGTGTGATCCAATACAACAGCCAGCAGAGTGAGCTTGTCTTGTTGTGTTTCAAATAATAATAGTAACAACAACAACAACAACAACACATCAAACTACTCTGGGACTCACAACCTCTGAGGATGCTTGCCATAGATGCAGGCGAAACGTCAGGAGAAATGCCTCTAGAACATGGCTCTATAGCCCGAAAAAAACCCACAAGAACCTAGTGATTCCAGCCATGAAAGCCTTCGACAATACATTACTCTGGGACTTCTCAGTTCAGACTGACAGAGTTTTTGGAGCACAATACTCCTGACCTCACAATCGTGGAAAAAAGCAAAATATGAATCGTCAATGTTGCAATTCAAGATGACAGCAGAATTGATGAGAAGTAACTGGAAAAGCTTACACAACATCAGAATTTAAAGATAGAACTGCAAAGACTCTGGCACAAGCCAGTAAAGCATGTCCCAGTGTTGATCGACACCCTGGGTGCAGTGTCTAAAGACCTTGGCCTGCACTTTAAAGCAATTGGCGATGACAAAATTACCATCTCTCAGCCGCAAAAAGGCCACCTTACTCTGATTATTCGCCGATCCATCACACAGTCTTAGACACTTGAGAAGTGTGTAACATGTGATCAGATACAAAAGCCAGCATAGTGATCTTGTTTGCTGTGTACTAATCTTGTTGTGTATCCAATAATAATAATAATAATAATAATAATAATACAACAACAACAACAATGTGAATTATCTGTATATATTTTTCTTCACTGTGTTCACAGTTTTAAACCCTACAATGCTGAGACTTTTAGTTTTAAATCAGCAAGGAATTAGATCATATTTATCTTTCCATCGGTGGGCAAAGAATTTTGAAAAGTTTGAAAAGCTCCTTGGTTTCTGACAGTGCAAGGATCAGAATTTAGGGAGAAATAAGTTACTTTTTGCAAGAATTGCTAAATTCAGTACAGGGTATCTAAAAATAGAATTGTAATGTATTGCTTCTTTTGTCAGCATGGCACTAGCACATGACACTGAATATTTTGATAGTCTTCCCACAGATGCAATTATTAATATTATAGAAACCCCAACATGTGCTGAATTTTACTGCTTACACACTACAATTACATTTATTTCGAATATATTTCTAAACTCTATTAGAAATAGTTTTTGGACGATGGGTAAGTCAATAATGAAATAATTTATTCTTCAATATATGATGCAACATTGGGCTACTTTTGTGAAAATTTCAGCATTTATATCATTTATAGATTCCAAGTTAAATTTTAATGTGCAAAATATTTTATTTATTTATTTCCTATATTTATACCCTACCCTTCTCACCCCCGAGGGGGGACTCAGGGCAGCCTCTCACACACCATATGGTGTGATCATAATAAAAAATCAACAATGCATTAAAATACTAAAAATATGAAAACAATAATTAAAACAATTGATGAACACACACCTATTAAAATCAGAGTCTAAAATCCAGTCTGGGTCAAATCATTGCCATCAGTGTTAAAATCTTCTTTTACTTGTTGCTCACTAATCGAACGCTTGGTCCCAAAGCCAGATCTTGATTTTTCTGCTAAAAGACAGGAGGGAGGTGGCCATTCTGATGTCTCTGGGGAGAGCGTTCCACGGGGGGGGGGGGGGGGGGGGGGGGGGGGGGGGGGCACTGATGAGAATATGCTTTCAGAATAAAGGCAAATAGTTCATTGCTAGTTTCTCATGCCAATCCAGTTCTGTTTCATATGCACTTTTAATTTTTAAATACTAAATCGCAATTGGCCAATTGCAGTAAATCCAGGAGTCATTTTTCAGTTCCTGGCGCATTATGGGAAGTGCACATATCCCGAAAAGCTCCAACACATCAAAATGACCAGTTCTGGTTTTTCAAAATAGACATGTTAAAATGTGGAACAGTGTAGAGAGGGTCTGCAATCCTTGAATGTCACTCCAGAAGGGTCATATGGGAAATCTGAGATTCAGAGGGCTACAGACTTGCAGCTTCCCCAAGGCCAACCTTTGCTCAGTTTTGGGCTAAATACAGCATTTTCCCACCTAGAATAGACCAATTGAAACACATTATATTTAGGTTAGTTTTGATTAACATTTTTCATTCATTTCAATGAAGCTGTTGTAGATAGGTCAACCATTGGATTAAGCCCAAAGGTACCACAAAAAGTGCAGTTGGCATAGAAATAGCGAGAAAAACTCGATTACAGTGCGTATAAACAAGTGAATCCTGGAAAAAATCGATTTGTCCTATAGTATCAAAAGGCCCTTCCACACTTGCAGCAGGCAACATACTGAGCCCTCAAAATCACCTTACTTCAATTGCCATCTTTCCTTTAATTCAAGGTGCTATTTGAAGAAAGAAGATGAGCTATGTAAGACAGCATTATACAGTACCTATGGAAGGCTGGAGCTCCTGCTTTCAAGTGATATGAAATATTGATTTTTTTAAAGTAGTTTTCTAGAGATGACCACTTAAATTTGCCCCATGACTGCAGTGGAGGGAGGAAAATAAGATTTCAATTAAACTTGTGAGATCTGATTTAACCCTTCCAAGTTTCAGAGCCAAGGTTTATTGGTTGGATAATAGCAGTTTAAATGAATGTAATCCAATTGTTTTAATAGGTGACTGCCAAGAGTCTCGAAGAGATGTATTTGAATTTTCTGCTCCTTTGGAAAATGCTAACAACCTGATTAGGAAACACAAGGAAAAGGTAAAATATTAATATAATACAATGGCACTAGAAATAAAACATAAATATGTTCTGGATAAAGTTCCAGAACTAGCTAGTTAACCATTCTGGTACACTGTGCTGTTTAAGCATATCTTAGCTTGCTATAGAAAGAGCAATGTGCCCAACTGTGGATAATGGTAAAATACTTGTAGTATGAAGAACAGAGTTGAGATTTTTCAGATGAAATACTAAGAATTCAAAATGGCCTAGAATTCACGTCTGGTGATCTGGAGGCATTTCCCCACTATCTTGTGGGATTGCTGATTGATGTTCTCGAAGACACACGTATTTTATTTCTCATCCTAGAATTAATTCCAAACATTAAAAACAGCCTTTTTAATGTTTCGAAGGTAAACCTATGTTACCCTCCCCTCTTCATATTACAATTGATATTTTGAACAGCAGAAAATGCCAGTGCTGATGCTCATGTCTGCTTCAACAGAAGTGCAAAATCATTTGTGATGAGCCAAGCTATCAAGGCACTGAAGGAATAACGGCACATTATTTGAATGGAGTACGTGGGGGTGGATGCAAAAATAGCCTATCGTGCCAGGTTTTCTCTCTTCTATAATGTGCAGACAAATCCCATATTATGTATTCACTGTGTGTTTCATCATCCCTGTCTCCACATCCTTGACTGAAGGCAATGAAGGTTGAGGAATATACAGTATGATAGTGGCACAATGCAGAATAAATGTCCATACAGGGTGGAAGAAGGTCAGAACTTTATCCTGTATGCTGAATCCCTGACAGGTTTTTAAAGTGGGGGGTGTGTGTGTGTGTAAGGCTGCCTGATATTATGCTTTTTTGTACACAAAATATTTTCTGTATACAGCAAAAGAAGAAAATCACAGATGGTGTTGCTTATGAAGTGTGGTAAAAAAGACACACATGGAGAAATGAGCTGTTTAGTTCTGTCCTTCATGCCAATGCCTAGAGCAAGCCGTGTTGTCAGGAGACATGGCAACATGGTGAGGATGAGAGGAAGAAGGTCACTCCATGACAAAATAATCTGTAACATCTGCTCACACTGATCCACAGATTCTGTTGGCTCTCTGAAACTGGGACTTGGAAGCACTGTTTTACAATGATTCTGATCTTCCTGGAGGGCAAAGATATATACTTTGAGGGATTCCTGTTTGACATGATGGCATTGGCCTGTGGGATTGTCAATGGCTTGATCTTGTCCCCTATGCTATTTAACATTTGCATAACATGAGTGAGAGAGGTAACCTGAAGCCTTGGGCTTCAGTGTCCCAAGTATGCTGTATCTCCTTTCTATTTAAATCCAAATACATTGCACTAATTGGACTAATTAGCACTAATTCTGAACTACTGTTGATATTGTACTGGAGAAGGGTATGGTAATTAAACATAAAAATGGACATAGCTAGTCACAAGGCAGGTTAAAGAGCAAGTATTTTACTTGTATTGAATGAGGTTATACTCATCCCGAAAAGTTACGTTCACAGAGGGTGCACCAACATGGGCCACACGTTCTCAATTGGGTAAGAATTAGTTTCATGATGTTTACATGGCACACAGGACATCTCACTCCCGATGTATGCAAGGCCACAATTGCACTGGCACAGTGGGTTTAAACCCTTATGCCAGCTCAACTGCCGACCTGAAGGTCGGCAGTTCAAATCCGGGGAACAGGGTGAGCACCCATTTGTCAGTTCCAGCTTCCTATGTGGGAACATGAGAGAAGGCTCGCACAAGGTGGTAACATTTCCGGGCATCCCTTGGGCATCACCACTAATTCTTTGACACCAGAAGTGACTTGCAGTTTTTCATGTCACTTCTGATATCATAAAACACAGTTTTACTCTGTGTTAGGGAAAGTTAGGGAAAGTTAGTTTCCATGGAACTCCAGAGCATCCCCTCATTTCATAGTGGCATGAACAGCCCATTTCAAGGTGGGCTGAATAGTGGTGTCCGTGGGGTTCCTGGCTGTTACTGGACACCTTTGCTGATGTCATCAGAGGCACCTGTGCAATTTGGGGGGGGGGCAGTGACCTCCATTTCTCCCTCTCCTTTCCAAATCAATGCCACTTTTGATGACACTGGCAAAGGCACTCAGTGATATCCAGCAGTTCTTTGGAGTTCTGTGGCCACAACTACCGTAACCAAGAAACAACATAGGTGAAAGTGACCAATCTGAGCTCCATCCTGTTCCCATAGTGGAAAGGAGAGAGGGCAGTATAGCCAGTCTGGAATACTGCCACTCTGGACCTGCCCAATATTAAGTCCACTGTGTATATAGGCCTAGCTTAATTGCAAACCTGCAATCTTAAATTCAGGATTGCTCAGTTTTTGGCAGTGATCGAGTGCATCTACATTATTATGGCAAGCAAATCACCCATTCTTTAGATGAGACACAATCATACTGGGTTGCCTCTGAAAAATGTTTATTTTGCTAGATCAAATGTTGTTCACTGGGGCTGGTTAGAAAGATCATGTGATTCCCTTGTACCTACAGCTGTATTGGCTCTTGATTTGCTTCCAGGCACAAAAGCCCTATATGACCTGGAATTTTGAAAGATTGTATTCTTCTTTACAAGCCTGCCTGGGTTGAAAGAGAGGTTGCTTTTTAGATGTCACCCTTTGGGGCATATTTGGTGTTATTCATTTAGATTTATGGTGACCCCAAAGTGACCCTATCACAAGATTTTCTTGATAAGATTTGTCCCGAAGGGGTCTTTTTTACTTTCCTCCAAGGCTAAGATAGTATGACTTGCTCAAGGGCACTCAATATGCTTCTAGTTGAGCAAGCATCAGACCATGGTCTTGCAGAGTCTTACTCCAATAATGGGACCACTACACCACACTGGCTACATGTTCGTTAAGGGTTAATATTGTTTGGACTAAAATATTGACTTTTTACCCATCATCTGCATTAACCTGAAAAAGAATGCTAGAGAATATGAAAACGTGTTCACTTTCATAATCTTTTGGTTGGTCCTAAAATGTAGTGTTGGGGTCCTGGGTGATAAACGGGTTCCCAATGAACCAATACTTTTATATTTTCGCTTGTTTTGTTTAAAAGGGAAGTCTTAGTTCAGAAATTTGGAAAATAGCGAGAAAATTAGATTATCTTTATAGGATTTCTTGATTTGAGGAAGGACCAGATTAGCGAGAAGGCAGATTCCATTCTCCATCGTGAATATGCTGTGTATACTCTCAGAAGTTCACTTAGTGCTTGAAGAAAACCAGACACGTTTATTAAATCTCTGGTTTGTTATTAGTTCTGTTATGTGAAAAGCAAATTTAATACGCTCAAATGTCACAGTTGCATGATTTAAAACAGGTTTGGGAATCCAGATGTTGCTGAATTGAAACTCCAGGCATTGCTCCTCATTGATTATGCTAGCCGGGATTGCTTGGATTTGCAACTCAACAATTCCTGAAGGGTTGCGGAATTCCTCTCTTGTTGAAACCAGAGAGAAAAACTACTACCCACTGAGGAATATTTAACATTAGTTATACACCATCTTCTTTTTTTTTTGCAAAAAACTCCAAAAGAAATATGTCTCACAATTTACCATCAAACATGACATAGCTGTAGTCTCTTATTATCATTAAGTTTCAGCCACTTTCTGTGATTATAATTCAATACACATAATTGAATGTAACACAGAGGAGCAATTTTGGTTGTGTTGTTCTGGTTTTGAGTGTATGCTATGCAAGCTGACTTTTCATTTTTGATGTGTTTACCAGTTTTCAGATACAGTGGTTAAAGATAAGATTCTGCTTTGTCCTTTAAGGCCCGTCCTAGGAGTTGTATTGTTAACATGCACGCACTATCTGCTTATGTCAGTGTGAGGAAATAAACACCTGTTGTCATAAACACCCACAGTACTTGGATACGTAATGATTCTTCTAAAGATACACACACACATTTACTTGCCATAATGAGAGCCCGGAAAGTGCCTAACTTTCCAGCAGTCTCTTGGCACTGGCTGCATTGTGTAAGAAACTATAGTCCACAACACTTACTTTGATGTTTCATTCTGCTTTACTTTGTTCATGCAAAAAGTTGATTCTCCTACAAGTAGAAAACAAACAGTTAAAATACACATGTTGTTGCATGACTAGATGCGAGTTTTTTTATTGGCTGCTTCATGAAGCTCCAAGGGCTTTGTAAAGGACACTTTGAGAACCACTGTATTAGAGGAACCACTTGGTTTAATATAACAAGAGAATGAATTACTCAAACCTTTTCCTTGGCAGAGAGCTAAGCTGAAATTCTTCCTAACTATTAAGGATCCTCTCCTCTACAGTCTTTTTTCACAGTTCCATTTTTCCTATTAGCAGACTACATCTAGTTATTCCAGTTTGTACAGATGAGAGGAAAGCATTTAAAATAATCTAACATTGAGTAAGGGCATAAATAATTGATAAAGAGCAAGATCCTAAGGCTGGCAATTCTTAAATAAAAAAGTAAGTATGAATAGAAATTATATAAAGATTAATATTGGGGCAAAGAGGGAGAAAGGGGAAATGGGACTGAAGTACATGTGAGCTTTGAAGGTTGCAGGCCACACAGAAACCATCCATGTATCAGTATTATCCAGACATGGGCAAACATCGACCCTCCAGGTGTTGGCTGTTAGGAATTGTAGAAGTTGAAGTTCAAAGCACCTGGATAGACAAAGTTTGCTCAAGCCTATTGCCTTATTTACATACTATGCATGCGCAAAATACATTTGTCTTCTTTCTAATTCTGAATATACCAACCACTAAGTAAGTATCCCAAGACCTGAAAATGTGGTTGGTGTAGCTCCAGAAAATATTTTTAGGGAGAAATGAATTTTTCTACATAACAAAAGAAATAAGATTATTTTGTTCATATATTAGACCCACAATACATTCCACAAAATGATTCCCCAGGGATTAGCATCAAATTATGACCTTACTTACTGAAAGGCCAGTTTCAGAAATGCTTGTTCATGAGAAACAATGTGACATGGGAGAGATGACTACTAGTTAGGCTGAAAGAATTCATATTGGATAATTCCTCACTTTTAGAAGTAAAGGCCTGTTGTTGTTGTTCATTCGTTCAGTCGTCTCCGACTCTTCGTGACCTCATGGACCAGCCCACGCCAGAGCTCCCTGTCGGCCGTTACCACCCCCAGCTCCCTCAAGGTCAGTCCAGTAGTAAAGGCCTAGGAACAAGTAAAGGTTACAAAGGAACAAAATATTGTTCGGTGACTTTTGTCAGTTTTAGATTTTTTTTAATTGCATAAGGCACCATGCTTATATACACATCTTATCTTTCTTTCTAGTCTGCAGTGTGGCACAGAGTTTCTAAAGTGATTTCTAAGATGATAGAAGAAAATGGACATTTTCGAAACCGACTTAAACTCTCCAGCCAACTTTCAAATGAAGGTAAGTGGTAGATAGCAAGTACATGTAAATTCTTTGGGGTGTTCCTGGTTCTACTGCTGTGTCTGGAGTGTAAAGCTGTGGGCACAATATATTTACTAAGATCATCCAATTTGCTTTCCAGTTCGGTACACAACATTTTCTAGAATTCTAGAATGCCCTCCCTTACCTTGAGAATCAGAGAAGAAGGTTCAGACCATAAGACTGAGAATCCTAAACTTGCAAATAATTTCTACAATCTTCCTCCATGTCAGATTCAATGTATCCCTGCTTTGCAACTGTTTTTGCATACCTGATGCATCACAATTAAAAACAAACAAACAAAATGAGATATGTTTACCAACCTCTTTTATTTTAAGAAAAAGCCCTCTGCGTATGTTCAATTTATCATAGTGCTATTATTACTGCATAAATCCAAATAGTAGTTTGATCCAACTGAAAACTAGTAGGGTGTTAGCCCTGATGTTCCATAGTAGCCCTTGTGTATTCCTGTCATTTGAAGAACATGCTTGCTACTTATTTGAGGCCTCCTTTGGTAGTGTCTCCAGGTTTACTCCTCTAGGTCTAGTCCTAACTGCAGGGAAAAAAAGACGTTTAAGTTTTAATATCTGTGAGGAGGCAAGGGGGGAAAGAAAGGCAAGATTTTTTCCCCCTCAAAATGCGTCTAACCTATTAAAGGAGTATTCTGCTTTTACCTGTAATTTTCTTAACAAATGAGACATTGGCCACGTTTGCCAGGCCCATTAAGGCAGTCACCAACAGTACTTCCAGCTGCATTAACTCTCCGCTGTCCAAAATCCAGTCTTTCAAAATAGTGAAGAAGATGAAAGGGACTACATATGTTGATATGATACATAATTTTCCCTGAAGGTATATTCAGAATTAGAAAGAAGACAAATTTATTTTGTGCATGCATAGTATGTAAATAAGTAAGCATAGTATGTATGTGCTGTGCAACTTACAATAATACAAAGTTAGAATATGTGCCATCCAGTCATGACTTGGATGCAAAATTTTGTTTTGGATGAAAATGAAGTATGAATTAAAACTGACACTCTACTGATATTGTTTCCTTTAGATCTTTTATTTGCTGCAAAATTCAAAGTAGCACAATATTATGCTTACAAATATAATTGGAATTTCTGGCTTCACAGATTAATTCATTATAGAAAACAAATTTACCAATCCATTAAGTGTTATTTGCTAAATTTAAAGTGACATATTCTCCCTCCTCGATATGGCTGTTTAAAGAGTTATATTAGAAATGTGAAGCTTACTTGAGTATAGAAAACATATCAAGATATGTAGGAAGTTTCTACAGTGATATTTTGAATGTTTCTTCATTATTTTTACATGTCAATTTAACCTTGAAGGGTGAGATTTTTAATTAATGGAAAGTTCTTATTATCAGTCAAGGAAGTCCTCTGTTACAAACTGCCTTTAAGTATACCAGCATCAAAAATAACCCAACCCACAATTGTTATGTTATGCCAGTACAAACACTTAAAATGAAATGCTGTATATGTTTGCTGAGACGTAAATCCCTCTGTAATTCATGTAAATGTACACAGGATTGCAGCCCGAGGACAGGATTAGGGCATTAAGCTCACATTTAACTTCCTCAGAGGAGCCAGAGATGTCGGCATCTAATGGTGAAATTCAGCTAATTATTAAAAAGTTCTGTTACAAAGGGATTCAGTGTTGTGCTCACAGGCATGACTTTGTTGGGAGACGCTTCTGCCTCTGCCTACCCCAATAATAACTATGGTTTCTTAATTTGTTTATTTAATTCAGGGACTGTGTGGCCTGCAAGGTGCATATGGTATGGTGGAAGATCCCCTGTGGCTCTTTACCTCTGGAATCTGAATTTAATTTGATTGGGTGGAGAAGACCTTTCCCTTAGTAAAACAAAAACTTTCATAGAATCATAGAATCATAGAATAAAAGAGTTGGAAGAGACCTCATGGGCCATCCAGTCCAACCCCCTGCCAAGAAGCAGGAATATTGCATTCAAATCACCCCTGACAGATGGCCATCCAGCCTCTGTTTAAAAGCTTCCAAAGAAGGAGCCTCCACCACACTCCGGGGCAGAGAGTTCCACTGCTGAACGGCTCTCACAGTCAGGAAGTTCTTCCTCATGGTCAGATGGAATCTCCTCTCTTGTAGTTTGAAGCCATTGTTCCGCGTCCTAGTCTCCAGGGAAGCAGAAAACAAGCTTGCTCCCTCCTCCCTGTGACTTCCTCACATATTTATACATGGACATCATGTCTCCTCTCAGCCTTCTCTTCTTCAGGCTAAACATGCCCAGCTCTTTAAGCCGCTCCTCATAGGGCTTGTTCTCCAGACCCTTGATCATTTTAGTCACCCTCCTCTGGACACATTCCAGCTTGTCAATATCTCTCTTGAATTGTGGTGCCCAGAATTGGACACAATATTCCAGATGTGGTCTAACCAAAACAGAATAGAGGGGTAGCATTACTTCCCTAGATCTAGACTAGATACTTTCTGATCTTTAAAAAGAATCAGAAAGTATCTAGAAATGACTTACGGCCACTCAAAATGTCACATCTCATAGGGCCAGCTGGGGGCCAGGAGGAGTCAAAAATGCCTTCTAACTCTAGGCACATGCCCACCCTGAAATTCTAAAAATGATACATGCTTAGAGGTGCTTCAGAGATAAACAATGGCTTCCAGCCACTTGCTGTCTATACTTCCTTGAACACCTCTGGTCCTCATGAAAGATATTTTGGGAGATAAAGACGGCATGGAGCTGGAGGCCAGTTTTCCTTCGCGTCTTCCAGAGAAGGAAGAAAAGAAGAACAGAGGGAGATAATCTGCTTAGAAAGGGGGAGATGCTTGTGGCTAGCAGAGAAGGAACTGGAGAATAGCTAATAGGAGGATGAGGATAATGGGAGATATTATTTTATTTGAGCTGAAAAACAGTATTGCAGGACAGGACATTCCCATTGAGTTAGGAAGGAAGGAGGAGGCTTAGGCTCTGGAAGGGCTGTGAAATTCCATAGGAGAGCTATGAAGGCTCATGCAGTGGAGGTTTCCCTACAGGGATTTCCTGTTTTGCTTTATGGGATCTGTGAGGATATTTCAATAGAATCCAAAGCAACAACAAATCCCGGAATCTTTAGGGATGTGTTGCCTTCATCTTTGAAAAGTCATTTCTCTTTCTGGTTTGCTGTGAGTTTTCCAGGATCTATGGCCATGTTTCAGAAGCATTCTCTTCTGACCTTTCGTCCACATTTCTCCATGTCAGGAGAGAATGCTTCTGGAACATGGCCATACAGCCCAAAAAACTCACAGCAACCCAGTGATTTCTGCCATGAAAACCTTCGACAACACACTTCTCTTTCATTGACTTAATGACTATAAACACTGACTGGTCTGTACATCAGGATAACAGACTGACCATGGGCAATTGCCATCTTCCCATGTGTTTTCTGATGCCCATTCTGTTACCATCCATTAGGAATTACATAGTGGCAAATATCTTTGGCTATAATTTGCATCTTTTTGAGAGGTGCCATTATGTTGCCTGCAGTGCTAATTGTGGCTCATTTTTCCAAAGCTTTAATTGTAGCTCATTTATTCAGCGCTATTTAGCTGAAAGCCCTTGATTCTACTGCCTTCTTTCTAATTAGCAGATTTTGCACAATATTGCACCAAGAAGACAACTCCTCTATTGAATTGAATTCTATAGTTGATAAATAGTAAAAATACACTAGAATAATGATGTCAGGACTGCAAATACAGAAAAACAAATCTGAATTAAGCTCTGTCCACACCAAGGATTTTAAAAAATAGAAACAAGATTATTAGTGCAACTTCACTATTTTTGTAAAGTGCTATATTTTAAAGATGATGAGACATAGTATTTTTGTGGTATAAACTGCTATGCAGAAGTGATAATAAGTTTCAGTGCAAATGCAAGGGATCTTTTATTTTCTCTCATAAAATTCTTCCACAGGTAGAGATGTAAATGAAAATATCGCAACTGAAGCTTCATGCATGGATGCAGTAAGTAAAACTGTGTCATCGACAAAATAGGGATATGAAATTGTCATCAAACTATACATGGCACTATATCTTGTTTCATGTAATGGGGCCCTACACCTTGACCATCTTCTTATTCCAGATTATCTGTCAGTGGAGACTCATATAACCCAGTTTAAAGCAGATAATCTGCGATCTGATCCTGGGATATAGGGCAGTGTAGAAGGGGCATTAGAAGCTTTCCAGAGTAGTGTTAGGCAGGGACAACATCAACTGGACAAGGTGAAAGGGTAAGATTAGCTTTCATGACCTGTTAGAAATCCCAGTATTTCAGCCTAGATGGAGACTGTGAAAATAGCTAGTTTCTCAAGTGATATTTTATAGCTGTAAGACCTAAATATGGCATCAATATTCTGAAGAAAAACAGAGCTGACTGCAAAATTAAAGAAAAAAAATATTGGATGATAACAGGATCCAAAAAGTGTAGTTTCCTTTCATATTCTTTAATAGTGAGGAAAATATTGTATTTCTTCAATTCTAAGAGACGTTTTCCCTATATAAATGCCCTAAAAACAAGGTGCATCTTAGAATAGCAGGTATGTATTTTTGTTGGTGGTGATGGTACTGAAATTAGGGTGCATCTTACAATCAATACCATCTTAGAATCGATGAAATACAGCATACCTAACAGGGCCAATCTTTAATACGTTGAAACATAGAAAATTGTAAGAATACATGTCTTATTATGCACCTGATTTGTGGATATGTTCAAGAATGATCATAAGAGCAGATGGTAGACCTAGTCCAACAGCCTTCTGTTCTTTCCCCCCTCTTATTCTATCATGCCATTGACTATTCATTTAGTGCAAAATCCTAGCCTGTTGGCATTGGACAGTTAATTGGCTGCATTGCAAAGGAGACCTTTTCCAGATTTCTTTATGTTTATACATACATATACCTCTATGTAGTAAATTGTTTCATAACTGGATTTCCTTTTACTATTCAGACAAGTGTAAAAAATAACTGCCAGGAATTTAGGCCTCTTCTACACTGCCATATAATCCAGATTATCAAAGCAGATAATCCACATTATCTGCTTTGAAGTGGATTATATGAGTCTACACTGCTATATAACCCACTTCAAAGCAGAGAGTCTGGATTTTATATGACAGTGTAGAAGGGGCCTTACAATTCTGTATGTCAGGCTACTTTTAAAGGAGTTGGAGCAATGCTGTTCTTCAGAACAGTATGTGATAAATAGGCGATGGTTTCAGCACAGCTCAATAAATAAAGAATTATGATTGATTTCTTCTGCTAGATAACGTTCACCTGTTGAAAAAGCTGATTTAGGTAAACCCATCCTCTGACCTACATATGTATAAATGTTTGTATCTTATTTTTCCTTCAAAGAACTCACTCAAATGCATCACTGCAAAATATGCTAGTTTTTTAAAATAATATTTTTTCATTAATTGCTTCAGCATATGGGGAGGTTAGGTTTCACTCTTTTTTCTCTAGTTGTGATCCTGAAGATCCCCCCTCCCTTTGCAGAGCTTACTGTCACCCTTAATCTTCCATAAATCCCCTGGCCCTAATACTAATAGCAGCTAGGGATGGAAACTTAAACCCCA